GATATATCTGTGTGAAAGACATCTATACTCAGGTTTACATATTTTAAACATGAACTGAGATCTAGAGTTTAGACTCTTTGTTATTGTAGAAAATTGAATGTCTAGCTTATAAAAAATATAATTAGCCTAAGGCTAGTGGTAACCTTTCAAACTTAATAATCCATTAAATTTTTCAAGCCCTTATCAATTCTCAAATTACATTACTTATTCACGGAACAAAGACTTTGTCTATTCTTATCAACAATCACATCCCAGTTCTTTTATCCAGTAGAGGCTCAATTAGAAATTTGCTTAATGAAGAGTAAAAGCATTTTCTATACCCCCTTGAGTTAATATATTATGTGTTCCACAGAAAATAGTAGAGTGCTCGTAAATAACTTCAGTGCCATTAGTAAAACTTAAATATTTGAACAGACTTGAAAGGCTTCATCTCACCTTGGAATTGGAAGTGGACTCCAAGAAACAAAGTCTGTTGCCAAATCCTTCCGCTGCCAAACATAGTTTCTGCTGTTCTTTGTGGATGGTTGCGGTACACTGCAGAACCACTTCATCATCCTGCAAGCGGAGAAAAAGAGAAAAACAAAGTGAGATTTGACATGACTACACAGTCTAAATCAGATCTAGAAGAACATGATTTCAGTGCAGTTGAAAAATCTGAGCCAAATGTAAAAGCTACTGTCAAAAAAAAAAAAAACCTACAAAACCAATTCCTAAAGTACTTTTTATTTGCAAAAATGTAACTAGGTGGGGGAGAAGGGAGAGGCTATAGTCCCTGAAGGTTTTCTCACTGTCATTACCGATCCCCAGAGGTAACCTGTATGGATAACAGTAAAATACAGGATTTTCACATTAGCACTCTAACACACTGTTTTAATCATCAAAATTAGCAAAAAAAAATTGTCTTACATATTCCTAGGACATCAAGTATCAAGAATGGAACAGATTCTAATAGCAGGCCCACATGTCATTCCAGAACTCACACAGGAAAACAGGTCAATAACAGAACTTCTAGGTTCCAATTGACCATAAAAGTCATCTTAGTTCAACCACACACTGGCTGCTTGATCATATTTGAAATGATTCTGGGTTGCTTAAAAATATATAGAGAAACGATTTGTTAGTTCAAGCCTCTGAAATCCAACAGGCTTCCAATCAGTTAATTAAGCAGGATCACACAGGAAAGATGATAAACAGGATGACTCATGAGTTTAGGCAGCATGAGTACTGCAGGAAGCATGGACTTTAAAACGAGTAAGATCTAGATTCCCATCCCAGCTCTGCCATATACTAGGTTATGTGACCTTAGGCAAAACAGTGAATCTCTAAAATGATGAAGCAAGTCAGACAAAGCACCTTACACGATGACTAACATACAAGAGGCACTAAATAGACCCTCAATAAATGGAAGATATAGTTGTCATTTTTTAACAAAGTATCACACTTTAACAAGTTCTAAGAGGCAAGTGCCCACAACGTCTAACCATTTATATTTTGACATTTCAACCTCAAAGAAACAGAAGAACACAACAGAGTAGTAAAAGAAGAAATGCATTCATCAACCCTTTTAATTAGACTCAGAATGGAAAGGAACACACAAGTGTTTCCTAGAAGCCCTGCTCCAAGGCAGAATGACAGAGCAGAGGTCATGGAATATGATAAGTCTTCAAAAGCAGAAAACAAGGTTTTTTTGGCTAACCTAAAGAATATGTTATATAAATTGTAAAAGTACAACTCTAATTTGTATTTAAAACCTTCATAATGCGATGTATTTGTCTTTCTTCCCTACATGGTAGCAACAATACGTAATAGCTTAGTTTATAGAACCAGCCACAAATGAAGCACCATTTTTTTAAAAACTCCTAACTGCCCCTGCTGGTGCACACTGATTTCCAGTGAACATTCAATTGTTTTATTTGAAAAGTAATTTGCTAAAACAAAATATAGCATTTTTTCTATGCTGAGTATATCTGAATATAATTTCATGTTAAGCCTGGCTATACTAAAAAATCATGAATTACTTTTGGAGATTATTTAATCTGCAAGATCAAAGAAATGCTGTGTCCCTAATATGTGATACTGTGTTCCATAAAAGAACTGCGACTTGTGCTGATGTGCTCGATGCCTCACCAAATCCCCAGGGTCT